TTTTAGGGTGAATTTCTTTAGCTGCAGTAGATAGCCAGACCAGCCTGTAATATAATGTTACCAGTGCTCCAAACTCACCTTTCCACGATATGTCTCACACCAGTAGTGCCTTAAAGGACTCCAAGGGAGAACTTCCTCTAAAGAGCCCTCAATTTTTTCTTGTATGTCAGAAGCAGTGGCCTTTGTCCCTCACCTCCTCTCCCACCCCCCAATTTAGGATAAAACTCTATCATAGAAAGATGCTGAGACCCACCTTCTGCAGTGTCTGCACCCTCAGTGTTTGAATTTCTTGAGGAATCGCGAGTTTCTCTGAGCCACACACTGGACCCTTCCACAGACACCCCTGCCTTACCCTGGAGCGGTATGGAGCCTTGGGGTGCAGGCTTCTAGAGACAAGATAGAAGCAAAATTTGATCCAGTCAACTGCTGTCTAAGGTGGCTCTTGAACATGCGATAAGCTTAAGAGGGGGCACATAAGCCAAGCCAAGAGGCAGGGAATGCAGAGGAGACCGCCCTACCCTGGGACCCTGGTTCTAGCTGTAGTCCTTCCCTCGCGGATCAAATCTGCCTACACTTACTGTGAAGGGGATGGGTTTTTCAGCAAGGCCCTCCTCAGTTCTGAGTCTTGTCGGTAAAACGCTCCTCCTTCGATTGCCAAACCCCCCTTTATTTCGGGAAGGAAAGAGTTAAAAGACTCTTGCCCTTCAGGGCCTGGGAGGGGGCGGCCGCTTTGTGCTTTATAGTGGCAGCCTTGGGAGGGTTGGAAGGTTAGGACGGTCTTGCTGTCCCAGAGTGGAGTAGACGGTCTGGGAGTGTTTCGAGGAGAAGGGGAGGACAGACGGGAGGCGTGTTCCCCTGGAGTTTTCTTTTTCTGCGAGCTTTCGCGCGCGCGCGTACAGTCACCCCTTTGGTCTGGCGATTGCGTGCAGGAGGTGGAGAGGCTCCGTCCCACCCGGTGGCCAGAGGCTGGAGGCTCGGGAAGACCTCCCGGGAGAAGCCGTGCCCAGGAAGCTTTCTGAAGCGGAGGCAGCTGCGCCTCCCGGGCCGCCGCGGCGCGGGAGCCGGGGGACGTCCACCACCCACCTTCGCCGGCTCCGCTTCCTCCCGCCCGGGTGCGCGCAGCTGTCTGAGCCCGCCAAGCTCCACGGTCGGTGCAACTCTTTCCTCTCAGGGAGCCGGGAAGGGGGTGGGGGTGGGGGGTGCGCCGCCTGGGCACCTCGGCTGGGAGGAGAGGCGAGCCCGGCGCCTTTACGCCCGGCGCCCTGCCGCTTGGCGACCCTCCGCACAGGGACTGGCACCCACCTGCCCAAGGGCGCGTGGCGGGGCGGGCACCTCCCCAGGAAGGGCGCGCTCCGGAAATGTTTGGGGATTGAGGGGACTGATCGAAAGCCCCCCCAGCCTCCCCGGGCGGGATTCGGATTTTTAGTCAGAGGAAAACCAGCGGTTCTCCCTGGGTCTCCCTTTTTCCCCAAGCATGCGAGAACTTTGTGGAACATCACGCCCTTGTCGGTGGCTCCAAAGCCTACTTGTGAAGTTTGCCTCGCAGCCTTTTCGGACTCGCCTGCTTCTCCTCCCCGCACACCCGGGGTACGCCAAGGGTAGCCAAGGGCACTCGGTGTGAGGGACTGCTGTGTTTTGGAAAACCCCCAGGGCGGCTAGTTTGGAAACCTGCCTGCAGAGGTCTGGGCGTTTTGTTCTGTGCTCTCCTTTAAAGGGCACTTGTTGCGTTTCACGTGCAGAAAACAAGGGCTGTTTCTAGATAATCAGCCTCTGTTTACACCATCCTAATAGAGTTCCCGGATAGAGTTGGCGGCGGAGGGGGTGGGGTGAGAGGCATATTATAGTCAGGCGTCGTCAGTAAGAGCAGTTGCTATTTATTACCCAGAGAGCAGAACCCACGGAAAACTAGTAAAAAGTTTCTGGTTTATTTGTTTGGGTTTTTTTTTTTTTTTCCTCTCCTCCTGTAGATGTTCTCCCCCTCCGACCTGGTACCCCCTCTGTGCTAAGTGTTAATTAATTGAGAAATACCTTGGCAGTCATTTCAGTAAATTACCTGCTTTAAATTTATGCCATTTCAGTAAGGTTGGAATTTCCAAATTACTAATTATGTAGGCCAACTTTAATCCTGAGAATCCAAGATGTTAAATGCTTACAGTGTAAGCCTAAGGATTCAGTCCTCTTCCTTAATAATAGCTTTTGAACTCCACCAAATTCCAAGAATGCTGAATCTATAAACCTTGGGCTGAACCTGAGATGCTTCACTAGAGAACTAGGTCTGATTATGACTGAGGGTTCCAAGCACAGCTTGGCTTAGATCCATGGAAAACGGCTACAGATTCATCCTTGGAGGAACATGCTTTTGAGAGGCTTTTTTTGTTGTTGTTTGGTTTTGTATTTTTCACCCAATGATAATATGATACCCACATACCTTTGCCAAGTATCCCTTAGCTCTGCAGCTTAATACATGCAGAGAGCTGATGGAGATGTCATCAGAAAAGATGTGGTGGTGTCATTGTTGGAGGAGGAAGGAAAGTGGTTTTGGTGGTAGCTACCTCACACCTTGGTAAGAACCCACAGCCTTGGCCCCTTTACCTCCTGCATAATCAGCTGATGAAGCAAACCATCATGCTCATGTTCCGACACTATAGTAGTACCTTTCCGGAGGGTCATAATCACCCATGATAGCCAGGTCAGTTCACTAAATATTCTCCTAGTGGACTCTACTGGGCAAAGAGCCACTCCATTTCCAGGAAAGGCCTTCTCTCTCTTATTTTTAAGGAAACATTACTGAAGGGTCCATTCCAACTGGGGAAGTGGGAGGCTTTAGCCATCAAATAGCACAAGGTATTGAAGGATTTCTTTTCTCCCATAACTATGATCTAAAGAGGAGAATGATAATGTGCTTTGTTCTTTGAGTCCTGGTCTCCACTGTGCAATGCAAGTAGTGGCATTTTTGTGGGTCTATCAACATTCGGTCAAATATTCACTCCAAACTGCAAAAAGCAGGAAACAATGGCAAACTACTTATAATTAAGCAAAGCAGAGTGAGGCAATATACCTGTCCTGCCCCTTCTTGGCCATGAAGCCTTAACTTCTTTAAGACTCAATTTCCCAATTAAAATGGGAATATTGCCCCTGCCTACCTAGAGTTGTAAAGCTCAAGTCAGATGCATATATAATAAATTATTAATATACATACAATGTCATTATTGTTTCAGGTTCCTGGGAAAAATCTCAGGCAAAGGCAAAAGTATATGGTATTTGCACCTTGTACCTACTTCAGACCTTCTATACAAACTGAATAAATCTTATTTCATCTATATGTTGTCTAAACATAAGCTCTATTGATTTCCCAAGACAACTGTCAAAATTCCTAAAAGTGGTTAATACCAACCATAAATAGACCAAGAAAAAGGACACAATTTTTAAAAAAATTAAATTATGACTTGGACATATACACCATAGACACACGCCACTGCATTAATGAGTTTATGGGTCTTCATTTAAAGAATCATTAAAAACTCATGGGGAAGAAAATGTACAAAATATTTAAATGGGAGGAGCCATTTTTTATTTACCTTTGATTACTGTGTTAACCACCAACCCCCTCATTTTCCGCAACACCTTTCCTTTAAGGATTAAAGTAGAAACCTAGACTTTCTGAGCAAGAAAGACCACTTGCTCTCTGCAAGTCAATTAAGCAGAAACCACAAATGATCTTTCGAAAACATGTAATCGCCCTCCCGAGCCTATTGCTTCATCAAAACTCTGGAGACTCCGTTGAAACATTTTAGCGCTAAGAACGCAAGAGAATGAGAGATAGTGTGGTCTAGTGGCTAAGAGCGCAGGCTCAGTCACACTAACCTGCCTTACAATCAACATTTCCACTACCCCCTGTGGACCTGACAAGCTGCTTGCCCTTACTGAGCCTCTGGTTCGCTGTGTTTATAACGGAACTGTGTATCGGCTTCACAGGAGCATGGTATGCATTAGATGGCACAAGGCATGTCAAGTGCTCGGTGCAGTGGGCCTTATAAATGTAGCTACATAGGATGTTTAAAAGAGAGCATGGGACAGATGTCCCTTGGAGAGCCAAATACTGTGGCTGGCCTGAGAAAGCCACTACTCCCAGTTTCACTCATTGGCAAATATTGTAATAATAATTTCTGAGGAATGGAAAAGAAAAAAAGTTCCTGTCAGAAAGGTGGATTGTACCCATTATTCATCAAGATTTTCAATAAAATAAATATTTTGCCTTTATCAATTATATAATTTTTAATTGAAACCAAGATTGTTAAATGTATCGATGGTGTTCACCAGAGTTCTGATTTCAAAAGAGCATTTTATAACACTTTAAATGGCTGCCTGTGCTGTATTTTATTCCCACATCCATATTTACCATGTGCAAAACAGAACCCATTTTGGAATATTGAATTACAGAATTGGGTGATTTTTAGAATTAATACCATGTGAGTTCTACTTGGCAAATAATGCCTTTTCTCTTCCATTAATAAATAAAATTTTGTATCTCAACTCTTGAAGATTTTTGTAATTCCGGTTCTTATCAGTCTAGGTGTAACGGAGAGAAAAAACTAACTTTTTATCTACTAAAGGAAAAAGCGGCATATCCTTATCCGTATTATAATCTAGATATAAGGATAGCTATGGATGGAGATGAGAGAGGGAAAGGGGAGGCAGAGACGCAGAGAGAGAGAGAGAGAGAGAGACACAGAGACAGAGATAGAGAATTTGCCATAATGGAGCTTTGGTCTTCTCTTTGTTTTTCCCACCATGGGATAACCTGACACAGATGATCTTACCCAATTACCAAATATACACTACTTTTTACTTGAAGTAATAAAGAATCATTGACTACAATTTAATTGGCAGCTGGATTTTGTAACCAAAATTATTTTTCCTCCTTTCTTTTCCAGGTGAAAAAAAAAAGTGAGGGTATAAAGGCAACACAATAAGAGACATTTCCTCAAATCTGCATCGGGATGGAAACCTTTTGCCTCAAGGTGGCCTTTTGGGTAGTGCTGGTTGGATGTGTAATCAGTGATCATCCTGAGAGCTACAGCACAAACGTAAGCACTCCAGTGGATGACTTCACCATTCTTCATGGGACAGAACTCAACTTCCTGGTTACCACTCATCGACCCACTAATTTGGCCCTACCTAGCAATGGTTCAATGCACAAGTATTGCCCGCAGCAGACTAAGATTACTTCAGCTTTCAAATACATTAACACTGTGATATCTTGTACTATTTTCATCGTGGGAATGGTGGGGAATGCAACTCTGCTCAGGATCATTTACCAGAACAAGTGTATGAGGAATGGCCCCAACGCGCTGATAGCCAGCCTTGCCCTTGGAGACCTTATCTATGTGGTCATTGATCTCCCTATCAATGTGTTTAAGGTAGGAAGTAACCACAAATATATTTGCAGGTTTGAACATATGCTCTGATTGCACAGTAAGAGAGTTGCTGCCGACCTTTGGAATTTTAGTCCGCATTTTTACTGAGAGTGATTTCTGCAGCCTTAGAACTTGGTGGCATTTAAAAATTTTATTATTTGTTAAATGTTGCACATATTTGCTAACTTAATTGTTAACAAAATCGTATTTCTGGGATGACTGTTCAAAGTCATGGTCTTTAGCGAAGCAGATTCTCATGCCAGCCCTGAGCTTGCTGAGTGGATGGGCAATGGTGGGAAGCAACTGGATTTTTCTGAGATTCAGTTTGCAGAGTGAGATCTATTGAGCCCAAAGAGTACTTAAAATAAGTATCTCTTCAGTTTCTATTACCTTTTTAAGGTGCTGCCATTCAGCAGCCAGATATCCACAGTACGTCTTGAAATGAAAAGTACCCATTTTATTCTGACTGTCTGGATTGATGATGGAAGGGCATGCTGGCTTCCCTCACTGATCTGGGTGGCGTACAGTCAGTGGGGTCCATGGGATGGCGGGCCAGTGCTAACCTTGTTGAACAGTGTCACTAAAGCTATTTAAATTAGGCATCAGTTTACTGTCACCTCCTTCGTTTCTTTGGTTTATGGAGTTTTCGGATGCACTGTGTCCCCACCCCTGAGTAAGGCAATCAGGATCCAAGGACAAATAAGACAAAGTCGGTGCCTCAGCCCCGAGGAAGATAACTAACCCACTGTCACTGTGATCACCTCGCTTCAGGGACCAGTTAGTACCGAAACAAACTAAAGCCAAAAAGAATTAGATATGTCGTACTTGGTCTAGCAGTTGTGGAGGGGAAATTGCTGCAAGAATCCAAATGACCTAAAACTCAAGTGAAATCACGTGGTCTATGCCAGATGTTATGGAATGTCTTTATTCTAACTAAGCCCAGGAGAAGTGCTTTCCCCAGCCTTTATTTTTTTCTTCTATGAATTATCCATAAAAAACAAAGCTATTCTGAGCAATAATATTCTGCAATGTGACTTTAAATGGCAAATTTCTGTTTGAAGACATGATAAATTTTAAATGAGGCTCTCGGTTTCCAATAGATACACTTAAACGGTGGCAAAATTATACTCGCCTCCCAGGAAAAGCAGCAGTACAATGAAGTGCTAACAATAATGCTGAAAACATTGATCACAATCTTGAATGTTACAAATAAGAACCATTTCAGAATTACTCCAATATACTCTTTGCAACATTGGGGAAATTAGACAACAAATGATTTTTTAAAAATATACCATCTCTTTTCACAGAATAGCATGAAAACATATGTTTTCTATTTGAACTTAAAATGGGATTTCAGAACTGAACTATGATGCAAAACTTAAAATGTGCAATTAACTTAAAATGTTTAGCACATGCTACAGAACTTTAATTTTTTTAAAAGGTTATTAATTTTCTCTTTATGAAATATTATGTGTAAACACTTGACTTTCTCATGACATCTTTCTTTAATAATAGATGTAAAATGTTTATATGACTCTTATTCAAAATTTTACTCCAGTAGTCACGTTGTAGAGTATTAAACATTGATTATTCATACTTACACACTAGCTAACCAACCCATCAGGGCTCAGGAGAATAATTATCTCCAAATTAATTATTCCCATTTGACCATTTGCAAAAAAGCTTTTTGGAAAATCAATATCTGCAACTTGCTTATGTCTTTGAGGTGCTACCTGCCAGTCACCAGACTAAACGTCATTTCCATTCCATAGCAACATTTGAAGTCAGATCATCTGGAATATCTCCAGTTGGTGAAAATTCAAATAAAACTTTGTTTTACATTCATATAACAATGGATAATAATTTACACGTCCTCATTTGACCATACGATTCTTCCCTCTTGGGAATCCAAGACTTTATATACCTTTTTATAGTTCTAAATAATGTGGACAGTTTAACATGTTTTCACATCACAGGAGTACATTTGTGTAATTTCTGTTTTTTCTAAAACTCATGTAATGAATCATTTAACCAACATTCATTTTAGAAAGTAAACCTTTTGGGTTACATAATATATATATACAGTTTAGTTATTTTGATCTTCTCCCAGAGGAAAAGAAGAAAACATTTGAGTAAGCTAAAAAGCCTTACAATACTTAGGGGTTATTTCTCCTTCATTCTGTCAGCCCTGTCCTCTAGGTTAGGAGACCATAAGATGTTGCTGTTTCCCCAATTTCGGCCCAGGAGAGTCAAGAGAAATCCCTCCAAACGATGTGAGCTCGTAGCCCTCCTGCCTTTTGTCCACAGCTGCCTCCTGCCTGTAAGAGTCTGATGCTTTGGAGTCTCATGTATCAGACCTGTGGACTCCTCTGACCATGGCAAGCTGCCCTGCGTTATGGGGCAAAGTAGCAGTTGTCCATCTCGCTTTACCATTTTGTTTAGTACTGAGTGGCTCCTGATGGTCTGTGAGCATGGAAGGGGGGGGTCATTCTACACCTGATTTCCAGAAGTTTCCTAATTGATCTCTCTATCTTCAGAGGTTCTTTCCTCCAGCCTCTACTGGTCTTCACTTCTACTTACTGAGCATTGCTTTAATAAAATATACCCAGGAGCTCCCACGTTTAGTAGTCAAGATCCTCCTTCCTCTGACCACAGTTCGCCTACTTCTTACCAGCTCCCAGCATGCGTACACAGCTCTGGTCAAAATGCCATCACTACCCCTAAATCAATGACATTCTCAGAGAGGCTAGACCTCGTCACTGACTGGCTGCTTCTGAAGGATTTACAGATCCTACATTGAAAAAAATGAGTCCGGAGTTACATATGCCGCAGAGAGAAGAAATACGCCAAAAAAGTGGAGCGAGACTCCTCTGGCCTGGCTTATACTCGCACACACAGACAAGCTACCTGGTGATAAAATCAGACGGTTTGAGACAATAAAAGACCAGACCTTTGGTGTGGAACCAAAGAAAGCAAATAAATGCCAATTTCCTTCTTGGTTTTTGAGCATACAAGGGCTTTGCAAATGGCAATGTCGAAGAAAAGTTATTACTAAGTTTAACAAAGAATTACTCTAAGTTATGCAAAAAGCAGAATATCAATAATTACAAGAGAAGACTGACAAAAACAGGAGAGAGGAAAGGAAGGGAGTTACAGACCCTTTCAAATATCCACCCTTGTAACCTAAACTGATGATGGATTTGAATTGTCAAGAAATTACATTATCTGGGGCACCCGGGTGGCTCAGTTGGTTAAGCGACTGCCTTCAGCTCAGGTCACGATCCCAGGGTCCTGGGATCAAGCCCCGCATCGGGCTCTCTGCTCCTTGGGGAGCCTGCTTCTCTCTCTCCCTGTCACACCCCCTGCTTGTGCTCTCTCTCTCTCTCTCTCTGTGTCAAATAAATAAGTAAAATCTTTTTAAAAAATTACATTATTTGATACATGAATTTTCAAGAAATGTGCAAATTTAGCCAGTAAATTAATCTGTATATAAATTGTTTACATTCATTACAATGGCAAAACAAGTAAAACATTGTATCTGTGTTTAGGGTCACAAATAACCTCCCAACTACTAAATGCCAATATAGGTTGGAAGTACAGAATCTAATGATTGTACTCTTTACTGATCCCATGAGATTATGTTAACACCCTGGAGTGCTGTCTATAGGGAGGTGGGTTTTAATTTTGAGTAGAGTGGAAACCCTACAAGTGATGTGTGTGCACGGGTAAGCCAAAGTTGGGCATCACGTGCTTTCAGGATAGCAGCTCACCCATACACGCACATAGATGTGCCCGTAAACCACTGTACATCAGCCCATTCAGTAGAAACAGGAATGTGGGGTAATACGTGTATGACAGGAGTAGATCTGAGGGGATTAGAATGGTGGCCGAGGGAAGAGGAAAGAAGTTGAGTCCAACAGCGTAGCGTAGAAAGCGCTAGCATGCATCGCACGGAGTAGAAACCAATGCTATCGTAGATCATACTGTAGGTGAATAATGTCCCCATTCAGCATGGGAGGTAAAAGTGGATTTCTGAGAACAAGCTAACCAGCCAGTGACAGAATCCCATAAGTGATTGTCAGTTACTAATTTGGTCCACTCTAAACACCCACCTCTTACTGAGGACAACAACGAAAAATAAACAAATACAATTTCTGTTTGAAATTATCAGGAATATTTCGCAATGGAAAATCGAGACTCAATATGTTGCTCTGGCAGAGGATCTGAGCAATGTGGAAACCAGAGACAGTCGCTTGGAGCCAGTTATCTCCGTATTCACACAGCCTTTGACATCTTGTGCAACTGGAATCCATCCTGTTGTTGGGGCAGCCATACAAAAGTTGTTTTCTAACACATCAAATCATCAAGGCAACTTCTGCCTCAAAATTAAATTGCCACAACTTATAGATTGTGTGTCTCAAACGTGATAGTTGTTCCGTAAGTGCTTTTCGGTATGATTTGATTTGATTAGGGTCTTTACTGTTAAAATTCACTTCTAAACAGATTTCTCCAAGATCTTCATGGTAAAATATTGATGGTGATGATGATGACGATGATAATTTGTCAGAGGGACTCTCCATTTATGTACATAGGATATTACCTGTGGCCTCTACATCCTCGTCCCAAGTTGATCGAATTGCCCACCAAATTATTGCAGATGTGATAATGGTGGTGTTTCCCTTTTACTCATCTTCAAGCAAATAAAAACAGATCTTTCTCATGTACTCCAGTAATAGTGCTATATAATCATAAAATTAGGAATAAAAACTGTATTCCCTGAATTTTTCGAAAGAAAAGTGTGTCCCTTGACCAGGATCTCTGCGCCCTGTTGGTGCATTGCATCCCAGCTAAATGTTTCCTGTGGGGTAGCTCGGACCCTGCCTTCCCTCCTGGCGACTCCTGGGCACACGTTCTTCTACCTCCATTTACTCCAGCTAACCTGGCCTGTCTGGGAATACCCGGATGGTCTTTCTACCTGGCATATTTTTCCCTCATGCCACCTC